TTCAGATTCATGGTCATACCCAATCTTGCTGAATTCGATGGAAAACTGTTAATTCAAGCCATGTTCTGGAAGAATCTCCCGGTCCCTCTGGCCTGATCAGCCCTCCAGGCGTGATATATCCACCATGTCAACCGAGTTTAATATGCCAGGTTCAATGGTTGCAAATTATCCGGGGCCAAGCCTACGACCGGTCTCAACCAGCACTACTCCCCGGCAGATCCCACACACCTCCGGCAGCCAGATGTGAGCACATGGAAACAGTGGAATCTGACGTCCATGTGCATGCTGGAGGGCAGGGCCCGGCACTCGATGCAACCATACCAAACAACCAGCGAGCCCCGCCCGGTCACAGAGGCCCGGGGCACCACCACCACCACCCAAGTCGTCATCACATTTTTAGCCACATGGACGGCAGTCGTTTTGTTGCAGGTACAGGTCAGACGCAACAGCTACAACCTCGTTCTAATCTAAGTGTTTGGTCTTGTTCTCCAAACGACATCCAGATTTTTCAACAGTTTTTTTCGAGAACTATTCCCGTTTTATTCGATGGATTCCTTCGCTCTTTGCAAAAGCCCATTGTCCCTCTGAATCGTGGGACCACTTCTCAGCGTTGTTCTGATGACAGCCATGCCATGTTTATCCGTCCCAGCAGTACTACCACATGGGACTTCCTGCGTGATATTTGCACCTGTTCACAGTCTCGCTCTCACTCATTGGATCGACATCCGATCCCCCCGCTGACACTGGGGGTCGTTGCTGTTCCAAAACCTTCTCATTTGTCCAGCGATGAGGATAACCTCCGTTTTCTTCAGCAGGCTAATCTATCATTTACAGTCATGACAGAAGTACATGTAAGTAAGCTTCAACCATGTCAGCTTCCATTTCCAGTTGTGCCTTATTTACATGTTCCATCTTATCGTCGGGTGATTGTAGGGATTTTGGCACATGTACATGTACATCAGGATAAATGATCCCCCCAGTATTGCGCTGTATCACTGGACCCCTACCAATTTTTTTACGCTATGACCTAGGTTCTTAGACAAGACCCTTAGCCTTGGACTAAGTTACCATTTGTGTCATGGGGATAGGAAGATTGTTAACCGATGTGCTCCTCCCATGCATTCTACAGTACTGCTCACAATACAAACAGAACACAGTCACCAAAGTAACTTCGTTACCATTGTAGCGATGTAATCGAAGTGTCTGAATCTCTCATCGTTCATGGGGCCAATGACTACATGTACATGGTCGCAAACTGAACAGAATGTTTTCAAATTCCTCTGGAACAATGAACCACTGACTGCTTTCTTGTGGACCTCTGGCATTTCACCTATAGAAAAATATACATGTACATGTACTTGGTACATTTATTTACCTGTACTCACTCGTTCTTAGCTTCAGTTTGGGTCCCAATAAATTTGTTGTGTAGGAGGAACACTATGTACAGTCATAATATCAGTATTTTCCCTACTTCAGGTTTTGAAAATTATCCAATTTACTGCAGCTCTAATAGTTCCTGATTCCACTGAAGCTGTAGTTACTAGTCACCATTGCCTTACGTTTGTCCTTTATGGCTTCAGACAACGAGGGCTCTTGTCCTAGAATTTAAGTCGCACCTCTACATTTTCCTACTTAGTGGTGTCACATTTGGGTTCGAGACGGACCCTCGGGTGCAAAGTCTTCCAGCCAGGTTCCGGTGTGCATTCGGTGACTTGACATGTAGACCATGCTTTGATTTTATTTAATCAGTTATGATTGTCTTTTTCATTTACTAACAACAAAATAAATGGATGCGCCATCTTTTTGTTCTCGTTTGAAGCGAATAATTACTCAACTCATTGCAGCTCTAGCCCCTGTTCTGCCTCGCTTCCCCAAAGAAGAATTAAATAGACTTTGGGTATACACCACCTGGTCAGTGTATTTCTTGAACAATGTACATGTACATGTAGTATCAACACATTACACTGTACATGTTGCAGTGGTACTTAATGCTGGACCCGCAGCATCTTATTGGTTACCATTTGTCGTCCACTAAATTTCAGCGTAGTGGAGTGGCCGCCACTCTACTTTAGTTACGGTAGCCTTTCCGACGTCCAGGTTTTGTTATGCAAGTCCTCCTACACATCATAAACATATCCATGTTGCATGGATAGTTGTACATGTTTATTCACAGAAATTGCTCCCCTTTTCCTGCATTCATGATGATAATTTAAGGTTGCTTCCTCGGAGTTTGGCGAGCATGTTCCCACAAACTTCCTTAGCACAGCTCAAGGTTTTCTGTCTGCTTCACGGGTTTCACAGGTTAAGATGCAACTTGTATGTGTGACCTTGGTTGACTAATATCTCCAGGGGTTCCCATCCTGGTTTCTTGACTAGGGCAAGTTGTACATAATGGCATTAGCTGCCAATAATTCTTAGGCATTGTGGACTGTATGGTTAGATTGCATAAGGCAGGTTTTTGTCACCTTTTGATTTTTGGTGGACTTCGTCCCAATTCATTCTGTACATTCCACAAAACAGGTGCATACAAGATAGCACAGGTAGTTTTGGGGTCCTTGTGGTCAGTAATGGATACAACAGTGCCCATACAACATCACAGTCAATAATGGGTTTAAAAGTCTCAGTTTTTTCTTTACTGATTTATTTGTTGTACAACCATTCAAAATAAATACTCTGCTTGTTAAATATGTAGTGTAAAAAAAGTAGGCTGCTGGCCTGGCTGAAATACTCGGGCGTCTATGAAGGTCATCTGTCAACTTGGAGTATTGCCTAAAGATTACTTGGTGCGGCTATNCCCCGGCATAACGTGGTTAATACCTACATGTACATTTTGCAGAAAGCTTCCGCCACTATACTTTGGAAGGCCATTGCAGTTCTACAATATCACTTTCTTCCTCCCCATTTTAAAATATATTTTCCAACCCGTATCATTCTCTCAAAGCGCATGGGAAAAATTGTCAATCTAAAACTCAATAAAATATAAGAAAGTGGTTTTCGACAGCGTCAAAGCGAAAGAAACATGGGGTTTCAAGAAAAAAAGAGGGCTACTGAGAAAGTATGAGTGGACGCTATTTAAGTCAAAAGAATGTTTGAGAAGCCCACATGAACTGCCCCAGAAATGCCTGTGGTTTTATGAACCAAGAACTCCCAGCATATTGGCCGGCGGTTAGTCTGCGAACCTTGCGTAGTCACTAGTTCGCTGACTCAGCGGACCTGGAAAATTAGCATAACAAAGCCAATTGTTAGACGATGCAAATAAGGTTGCGGGGCTCACTGACGATCGGTTCTCAAGGGCCAAATTTTGTCCGCAAGCTACGTGGAGTTCGCAGACGGTCAAGTTTGACAAGAACCCTTACATTGAATTCCAGTCCTTGGAACTAACATAGAGAACACATTTATCTCTAGCTTTCACTTCAGCAGTAACTCGAAGGATACCTCCATGTATATACATAAGAAGCAAATAAGGAAATTGAAATATTCTGCATAACCAGCTTACATCAACAGGCCTGCATTCAAATTTCATACGTTTTTGGATGTTTACCGTGAGCCCGTAATGACATGGTTTGTCTCCTGGAGGGCATACATGTAGATGAGAAATACGATTAGTGTTTTAGGGGACTTCAATCAGTTTGATGCCTTCGTTTAGTGCAGTCGTAAAAATTGTGCAAATTAATTGTACTCCATCCTGATTACATTTGCCTTTGAATAAAATCCATCATACTAAAACCATTGAATAATGTACTCAGGAGGGAATATAATGAATATGTGCAAGTTGATCGCTGGATTGTGCTGAACATGTAGGATGTACACAATAATTGTTAATCACCTCTTTTATCATTTGGAAATGGTCGGTGTGACAATTTCAAAATGTTTAAAAAAGCCCATTGGTAGAGTTAAGTTACTCAGGATATGTCAATGCATATTCAGAGCTACAGGTAATTTGAGTCAGTTCTGTTTCTTCTGATATCACTATTCTGAGCAACAGAGCACAGAAAGTGCAGAGAAAAACTTGCAATTGAGAATGTTTTTATTACTACTGCCTACCAGAACCAGTTCCAGCACTTCATCAAGCTTCCAAACCCAGCTGCCTGCCACATTATACATCTGCTTGTTGTGAGCACCCATGCTCACGATCACTGTCATCATGCTTATTTGGTGTCAACTCCTGCGATTTTTGCTCCGGTGCATGAATTTGGTTTTAATTCAGCTTTTGTGGTACTACCTTGGAATCCTCTGATCAAATTAAGTCCATTGAGCACTCAATTAGTGTAATTTCAGGCCCTGGATTTCCCAAGACTGGTCCACACTAAAATAAAAAAAATACCGTGAAAATACTGTGCTGATCGAATCCATGTGTTGACGTGACCACCCAAATGGTCGATACGTGCATGGACAATTTGTGTTGAGTCCTGCTTTAAACACTTGGTTAAAGCCTGACCTGAAATCTTAGAGTTCATTTCTCGAGATATTTTACACAATTTTTTGACAGCTGTCTGGTCAAATTATCTAGAAATCATCATCACATCAGTTCAATATTCGTCTCTAACACTCCCCTTTGTAGTTCTATGCAAAGTTTCAAACCAGTGGCGCATGTACTTCAGGAAATGTAGGGCTTTAAAGGGTTCACCTTTAATGTCATGTGACTTGTCAATTGATGAAGTCGTCATCCCTTGAGGTCAATTTTGGTCTATCACACATGCCCATCCAGATAGCTGCAAAGTTTCAAGCCGCTGGGACGTTTATTTTAGGAGATATAGGGCTTGAAAGGATGCATCTTTAATGTAATGTGACTTGTCAATTGATGACGTCATCAGCCCACGAGGTCAATTTTTGTGTCATGCATCCCTTCCAGATATCTGTTAACTTTCAACACTTTGGAATATGTACTTCTGGAGATATCAGGCTTTAAAAAATACACCTTTCATATCACGTGACTTGTCAATTGATGACGTCATCATCCCATGAGGTAAATTTTTGTCCATCACACATCCCCTTTCTAGATATCTGCAAACTTTCAACACGCTGGGACGTGTACTTTTGAAGATATAGAGCTTTAAAGGATGCACCTTTCATATCACGTGACTTGTCAATTGATGGCATCATCATCCCACGAGGTCAATTGTCATCTATCACTCATCGCCTTCCAGATATCTGCAAAGTTTCAACCAGCTGGGACATGTACTTTTGAAGATATAAGGCTTTAAAGGATGCACATTCATGTCACGTGACTTGTCAAGTGATGATGCCATCACCCCATGAGGTAAATTTTCGTCTATAACACATTCCCTTCTACATGTAGGTATCTGCAAAGTTTCAATCAGCTGGGACATATACTTGAAGAGATATAGAGCTTTAAATGATACACCTTTAATGTCACATGAATTGTCAACTGACGACGTCATCCCATGAGGTCAATTTTCGTCTATCACACATCCACTTCAGATATCTGCAAAGTTTCATCCCACTGGGAGATAAACTTCAAGAGATGTAGAGCTTTAAATGATGCACATTTAATGTCACCTGACTTTTCAACTCATGAGGTCATCATCTCATGAGGTCAATTTTTGTGTATCACACATACCCCTCTAGATATCTGCAAAGTTTTATCTCAATGGGTGTGACAACTCCCCCACGATTCAAGTAATACATTTTGGGAACTAGTTATTCCACCTGCAACTTCGTGGACACTTCAATAATTTATGTTCAGAGTTTCTCAAGCTATTTACATATTTTTAATATATACAATTTCTTCTTGAACAGTTACAGATATTGTTTAATATTTACAAGATTATTTACAAATATTAACACATTAATTTAGAATGAGTTACTTGGAAGGGGTTAAGTTTCACTGGCTGATTTAATTAAGGAACCAAATTGGTCTTTAGACCTGTTATAGTCTATGTATTATATTATTATATCCAAATTGGACCGAGTCACTGATCTAGTTATTCAATCGTTCCAAATAAACCTCAACCCTAAGTAATATTCTTACCCTGGAAACTTATTAAATAATAATATAAAGGTCTCTCATTGGAACATAAAAAAAGCAAAGAAAGTTTTCCTAATCTAAGAGAAATTAATGAATGAATACTATAGTAATTAGTGAAAAGATATATGGTAAATAATCCTAATCTAGCCGGCAAAAGAAAATATGAATGGGCCCACCGTTATCTGTGTTAGAGTCAGTTTCCGTTTGGTTTTGAGTGTTTGTGATGAGGGCCTCCGTCTTGACTGTTTAGATGTCCCTATAACGCTACCTCCAGATAAGTATGCTGGAATCAGGGCGCTGTCACCCAACAACCAGAAGTTTTTGTCTGGGCTGTTGATCTTCTCGGGCCTGTCTGCCTCGTGAAACGGACAGTGCTTCCACAAGGAAGTTTCAATTAATATCCGCAAGGTTGCAAAACCATAGTTTGCAAAGCTTCCGATCGCGGTTGATGTCAGAGTGGCCTATATTTTTTATTTTAAATCTGCGGGGTTTGATCACATGACTTTACTGTTCAGAAGACAATCCTCAGAATGCCCAAATGATATAAAACACCAGACCATGGTGACATAAATATTCATCCCGAATCATGCATTATTTATTAGTTTTTAATTTACACATACTAAGTATACAACGAACAGGCACTATACACAAATGCAGCACAGTCTACAAACACGGGACACACAAGTTATTTACTGAAGCATTGCAGGATCTGTTGCTCTGACAACGCTGACAATGGGATATTTACTTCAGGAGATATAGGGCTTTAAATGATGGACCTTCAATGTCAATGACTTGTCAACTGATGACGTCATCATTCCATGAGGTCAATTTTCCTCTGTCACACATCCCTTTCCAGATATCTGCTAAGTTTCAACCCACTTGGATATGTATCTTTGGAGATATACTGTAGGGCTTCAAAGAGTGAACCTTTAATATCATTTGACATGTCATCTAATGACCCCATTATTCTCTCCATATATCTTTGCCTCATCCCTGGAAATGTCGATACTATGGTCGAGCATAGTCAGGTTAATACAAACGTGGAATTTCCTCAAATGAGGGTGAACTTCAGTTTTTTCGTAAGGGGTTTGATTACCTTATTGGGGATTTGCTGCAGAATGGTATATGGTGTTGCAACAGTACAATCATCTTAATACCAGAGGATTTGGGACTGTTAGGGCCATTGGCATACACAAATTAGGAACAGCGATTTCAAAGACAGGAAGAAAATAATGCAAACATCAATTTTACACAATTTTTTCAAATGTACATTATTATTTCCCATTGACAGTAACTGGACTAATTATTACTATGTAAAGTAATGTATGTGAAGTTATTGGGTTTTATGTGTACAAAGTTAATGGGAGAAATTAAATCTTCAAAATTAGATTTAAAATCTAATTATGATGCCAAAGTGATGTCATGCGTCTACATTCCTCTATCGTGTCTATGCTGATGGTCTTTGCACGTAAAAAGTTTCATTTTCTGAAGCGGTTAAAGTCTACGTCATTCTGGCTGTTTAAAAATGCGTACAAAACCTGTGGGGAAAAATAAATACTCAAAATTCAATAAAAATCAGATGATGAGGTCATCATGACGTCACGCATCGTTGCACATCTTTGCCACAGGGTCTTTGCTTGAGGCAACTTTGATGAAGATTTACCCTTGCAAAGAGACTAAAGAACTGCAAAGAAAAACTGTGTACAAAGGATGGGAACAAGAAGAAGACGGAAGAAAAAAAAACCTTGACAAAAAGAATGCCTTTTTCGCAACTTGCAAAAAGGCAAAAAATTGTGACACAGAGAATGCCTTTTTTTCAAAATGCAAAAATGCCAAAAATAAAACAAAAAAGAAGTACTGCCTTTTTTGCAAAATTGCAAAAAAGCTTAAAAAACATGACGCAAAGAATGCCTTCTTCTGCAACTTGCTGAAAAGCTAAAAAAATTGACAAAAAGAATGCCTTTTCCACAACTTGTACAAAAGCCCCCCCCCAAAAAAAACAAAACAAAATTTTAAAAAAGCAAAAAGAATGTCTTTTTTACAAAGTTGTGAAAAAGCTAATGAGACGAATGTTGTGTTTGTTGTGAGACAAACACTGAGCTTTTTCAGGAAACTCTTTTGGTTTGATAAAAAAGAAATTTTGCACAGGCTGGAATCGAACAGCTGTTAAGTCCACAGTTCAAAATTTCTGTTAGACCACAAGCCTCCTTGCTACAGTAGAGTGTGACAATACACGCTCACATGCTTTCCCAGCCACATGATTGGAATTTTGCCAGTTTTCCCCAAAATTAGGAATGATTTTTTTTATTTTTAATGATTTAAGGGCCTTTTCATTATAACATCATCATTATCACGTCATCGGCCCCGAATTCCACAGGTGTTTACTGGGTAAGGATTATCAGTCATATCAATTTTCAGGTGATTCGGACAAACTTCGCCACAGACATCTATTGAAAATTCATTTTTCATGAGTTTTAACTAGTCGCTAGAGGGTGCTAGGCAATTACATGACGTCATCAGGAAATGATTTGAAGAATACTATACCCTCACTGACTTAATACTGTTGAAAACAAGTTGATACCTATTACCACTTTTGAATAATAAGTCCACTTCCGGTGTTGCGGGAGGCCAGAGTTGATTTTATATGGTTTAAGAAATTTACAATACTAATGTAATCACTTGGTGACGTCATCATGACGTAATTATTATTATCATTATTCAAGATATACATAGTTGGACTGTATTTTGTAAATTCTACCTTGAACTGAGACTGTTTGCCGATGGGCCAAGCTACATTGAACACAATGTGGTCTATTGCTAGCGTGCGATACTGCATGTACTGTGTGCAATCATGCAGTGTACACTGTACACGTTCTGCCGATGACATCATCAAATCAGCCTGGGAGCATGAACGGTCAAAATAGATTTTTTGTAGGCAGGGAAATTTAGGACCTTTTATTCATTTTGGGGTCACAATTAACGGGGTAAACATTGAATTTATAATGTTTTTGAAATGGTTACATATTTATTGTTATTTTGAAATACTTCATGTTAACTAAATGTTTCCCATTTCTGTTAACCTTGTTGTACATGTATTTCATCAAGTGAGGGCCCACTACACTTTTTTGACAATACACGTACACAGGTGTGTTCTCAAAGCTAAATCTTCTCAACATCAATGAAAAGAGCATGTTCTGATGATTATTTTGATACCAACTTAGAAAATATTTGATGAAAACTGAGAGGGTTATGTTTCATTTTTACTAAAAGGGTAGAGTTTAGTGAAAACTTTCCACTTTTGTTGGGTGGATTCTGCAAAAAAAATTGGTATTTATTTATTGATGTCTACAAGCACAGCATTTTTTTTCAAAATCTAAAGACCTACATGTACAGGTCAAAAGGTGTGTTGGTCTGACTGGAATGACTCATATACCTGTAGCTGCATATCAAAATTGAAACAATTTCTTTGTATTTGAGTATTTTGTAAAGTATGTGTACTTTAAAGAAGTGAAAATCATCAGTGCCCAACATGTGCATGTACATCCAAATGATTTATGTACGATTGAATATTGCCTCTTACTAATAGGGACTTTCTTTCATTTCTGCAGTGAAAACAGACAATGGCCAAAGCAAGAAGGAAACAATGTCTCATCATCAGCCTTTTGCCACTCCTTGGACTAATGTTGCTTCACTTTGGAACAATTCCAACAAAAATACTGCAATATGGACATCTTGCTTTAAGCTCCAAAAGTATCTTACAGACATTTCGCTTGGGGATCAGTTCACATGATGAAAATGTTATGCTTCTGAAACCCATGGAAGATGAAAGCAAGCTGCTGGATTTTGTCCTTGGAGAAGCCATACCATCAAAGATACAGCTTAATTATCACCTCAAAGGAAAATTACAAGCAAAACGTTTGACTCCATTGAGCCCTGAAGTATTTTCAACCACTGATTCACCTCCCATGGTACGGTCAAAGACACTACATGTACCGGTACATGTGGGTGTACATGTACCTGGTAAAGTAGCATCAGTCCGTAAAGAAGAATTGGACAACTCCACAGAAGTTTCAGAAAGGCACTATTTCCAAGCAAGTAAACCTGCTATGAAATCAAGAGATAAACACAATAAGATACCGGTACACATCCTGATTGTGACTAATCGGCGTTCTGGATCCTCCTTTTTAGGTCAGTTTTTCAATCAGCACCCAAATATTTTCTTCCAGTTTGAACCACTGAAATTAACGGAATGGAAGAAAGAATTCTACCCGGATAGAACTGGATACCTTCGACATTTAGTAAAGTGTGAATTCAACAAAACACCTTACTTGGTGGAATTTTATAACCATGAACCACTTCATCGAGCTAGTAGCAGAGTGATGACTAGCCCTCCGCTGTGCAATCTTACATTGTCTTCCCAACTAAGGTCAGAGTATAAGAATATGAAATGTCCTCCCTTGGAAACAGAACCCCTTATACAAGCCTGCCGGAAGAAACATCACCAGGCAATCAAGTTAATAAGGTTGTACAGCATATCATCTCTAGAGTCTGTTGCCCTTGATGTTGGTATTAACTTAAAAATCATTCACCTTGTGCGGGATCCTCGTGCAACGTACATTTCAAAAAGTAGAGTACCTGGAGCAAATGTTACATTAGAACTGGGTAAGTCACTTGATATTGGTATTTCGTACCTTTGTAGACGAATAAACCGTAATTTAGACTTTGTTCGTAGTCAGCCAGTGTGGCTGCAAGGGAAATATAAACTTGTACGGTATGAAGATATAGCACATGATCCTCAAAAGCTTGCTGAAGACATTTATGATTTTACTGGTTTAGGTCAACTACCACAAGAAGTTTTTAGGTGGATACAGAAAAACACCTTAAAATCGGCCATCAAACCTGGTCACCAAAAGGTTAATAGTTACTATTCCACATCCAGAAATGCATCTCAGGTCCCCGAGGCATGGAGGAATCAGGTACCACTCAAAGTGGTGCTGAGGATGCAAGAGATTTGTAGGAAGACATTGAGTAACCTTGGTTATCTTGAAGTCACAACCACAAAGGAGTTAGTGGATAAGAGCAAGAGTTTGGTATCTGAATTAGATTTCAAGATGAATTAATTTTTCAAATATTTCATTTCCTGTGTGAGAGGTATGAGGTTTTTTCTTTTAAAAATGTGACCTGACTCAGGTCCCTTTGTTCTCTGTTGGGATGCCCTGAATATTCATGGTCAGGGTGCTTCTTGCACCTCAAAAGTACATTTTAGTGTTTTAAGTTTGGATAATTTGACGTAAGTGGAAGGATCATCATATTTATATAAATGGGGAAAAAGCGGGTGTAATTCATCAGTGTTTTCACAGAGACAAAGTTCAAAGTTCAAAATCAACTGCATGTAGGCCACGTGATGAGTTGGTGGTGTATTTCTTTTAACCAAATCTACTGAAATCAGCCAAATGCTAAATACTAGGGAAATAAGCATTTTAAAAGAGACCAACTTCAAATGTGAGTTTCTCGAAACCTAGTGTTTACTTTCCAGTAAGGCATTTGTCTCTTCATGAAAATGGTGACGAATTTAGAATCTGTGTAAACTAAGATTTTTAGCAAATTTAATATGCAAGGATATGTACCCCAAAATTCTTGCCAGTGAACACAATACATTGTGTAATTTGGAACAAGAAATCTGTTGAAATGAAGGAGACTCCTTCAATAATCAGGGCTGTTCTAGCATGATGTCATGATGTCCAGAAAGTAATGTGCAATTTACATGCATGTGTTAGCCTTTAATGTTCATATATTTACTGTAACTTTGTCTTGTAAAAAATGTTTTGTTTTTTAATACTTTTTTAAAATTGAGCAAACATGGCCGATCATTAACTGATCACAAATGAACTACATGGCGACTTCCATTCCATTGTGTTTTAGTACATGTATATCTGTTAAGAAAACTACATGTATAGTACCTACCAGCCATGGTCTCAAGGAAGTACGCTGTATATAAAGTAAAAATAAGACTTTTTATCCCCTAAACAATAAAATTCATTATACACTGTACTCAATGGAAAGATTCATTTGGTGCCGTGCGTAGTTCCGAACATGATTGCGGACGCAGGAAAATTGCCTGATTCAGTTGCGCCAGCTGGGTCCTGTAGCCAATTAGTGCAATGGGGTTGCTGCCAATTTATTGCTGTGAATCTGGTGGCCAAGCAGCAAAAGGGTTGGTGCTCGGGGCAGCGCATCGTTCATTGTTTCAGTATTCGTTTTCAGCACAGCTTCAAACAAGTTTGCCCTCCTCCAAAATACATTGTACGCCTCCCGTGATCCTTGATTCATGCCTTTGGAGGGGTTGCAAATTTTTATGCGGGATAAGGAGGCAAATGCCCAATTTTATTTATTAGCCAACTTAGCCAAGGATTACCCAACTGTTATGTACATGTATTATAGATCATTACCACTTTACCTCTCATCTCAGTTGCTAATGCATATACAAAGTTAGGTATTTCCACCACATGTAACAATGGGGGACTTAAACACGTATGTATAATTAATAGCCTGTGACATTCTACATGGACTATACCCGGCCGCATGTTCCAGCGGTTTGAACTGTGATGTGCGTAATTACATAGTCCTGATATAAAAAAGTTCTTATACAATTATGTTATTACCAGTTTGAAGGCTTCAGTTTTGCTAAGTTATGCATCAAGTTAATTGCACGGTGTAGTGTTCTTTTTTGTTATAAACATATTTTATAGGCATCCTATTGTTCTATATATACTGGAAATACAAATGACAACTGGCAGTTTGTTGTTTTCGGTATACATGTATATAGTGATCATGGGTATCGCTAGGCATCTCGAATTATGATACCTTATTTGGTATTCATGTAAAAAAAACTGGCCATTGGGAGTTGTCGATAGTGGTTATAGGTATCACTATCTGAACTGTGGTCAAGGGGACCACTGTTTGTGGTTATTCAACAAAGTCAGAAGTACCGGTTGTGTTCCGGTGTACCCTACTTTGGTATTCCAGTTGAATGTTGAGAATAAACGCCCAAAGCTGTGGCTCCCAGACACTCAAAAGCAGAGAGTTTCCACTCTCCGTTTATTGTAGTTTGAGTGTAACATTTAAGACGACATGATACAATGGGGTTGCCAGTTTAGAGACTGAGTCTATGGGTGAAGTATATAGATTTACTTTGTCATGAAATCTTTTCCTGAGGCCAGTGTTTTCATGTTTCCAATCTGTACAAACTGTTCAATGCCTTACAGGTACATGTACATGTTGCCTACCTCATCCACATTGCAAACTGCCCTGCCTTTTACGCATTCCTTGCTTTGGCCAAGGTAACATGTACATTATGAGGCAGAAGGAAGTACATATAAACCAGACATCATCTGTGGGACCGAATCATGGCTTAATTTATCTATAAGTAGCAGAGAGATTTTTCCATCCGATTACAAAATCTATCACAGAGACAGGTCTGTGAATGCAACTGGCAGGGGTGTCTTTCAGGCCATCCATCAACACTTAATTAATCTCCAGTGAATTTGAAAATGGTATGGGTGAGTGTGAAATCATCTGGACTGAAATCGAGCAACAAATCTATGCTGATTGATACCTATTTTAGGCCTACAAATGACCAAAAGGGTCTCTAGTTAGATGAGCTCAGGAAATCTGTTGCAGCCTTGAAGACAAAATTGAACTCCAACTCTGTTTATGTCATGGGAAATTTTAATATTCCTAACATAAACTAGAATGATGGAACTGTTTCCAGAGGGCAATGATACAGCAAGATGATAGGAGAGAAGTTACACTACATCAACAGAATTTGGTCTGACCCAGTGTGTTAGAGAATCTACTACATGTAGGTCACGAGGGAACACAACATTCTTGATTTAGTGTTTACTGACAACTTCAACAGCATTGCTAAAATTGAAATTATTGACGAACTTTCTGATTATGACATCAACCTGAAAACTAGGAAAAGAGGTTGCCAGTTAAAAAGATCTTTCTCAAACATAAGGCTGGTGAAGAATGGCTTCTGCGTGTTCTGTGAGATGTCCACAACTACAGTTCAGAGTATGTAGCTGTTGAAGTTGGTAAAAATACACGGAAGAAAAATGGGCATCTATCAGTCAGAAACTGCAGGGACTCCAGGAAAGGCATGTACCATGTGTCATGGTTCAACAGCTCATTGAAATGGGAAAACAGGAAAAACTGTCGGTTAAATAAAAAAAATCAAAGAAATCTAGACAGGCCTAAGACTGGGATATCTTCAGACAAGCTCAGAAAAATATAAAAAATCTTTGTAGAGCCAGTCAAGCATTTATCAGCGATCATCTGCACAATAATTTTAACTCAAATCCCAAGGCCTTTTTACATCAAGAGCCTTTGAAATAAAAACCTTAGCATTGCAGATCTGGCTCAGGGGAACATTCTTGTCAGTGACAGTAAATCCAAGGCTGACATGTTGAACAGATGTTTCCATCAGAGGGCATTTAATTTGAATCACTCGTCTTCATTGCCAGACCTTCAAGGTATAAAACATGAAGATATCTCCAAACTTGAAATCTCAATAGGTGTACCATAGCTGCTGAAAGACTTGGTTCCTTCTAAAGCACCCGGCCCTGAGAGTATACATGTACCTCCATGGTTACATGTACTTAAACTATGGCTACTCCTTTGGCACCCATACTCGAGGACGTCTTTCAGACATCCATCGATAGTGGTGACGTCCCTGTATAAGTGGAAAACTGCCAATGTGTCTGCTGTTTCAAAAAAAGGTAACAAGTCTGATCCTTTGAATTATCGTCCCATATCCCCAACATCTGTTCCTTGGAAGATGTTAATAGAGCACATCATCGCCAGTCATATCATGAAGCACCTGGAGAAGTACAACATCTTATGTGACAGTCAACATGGATTTAGAGCTAGATCAACCAAAACCCAGTTAATAACAACTCCTCATGACATAAATCAACGAAATGATAACAAGAAGACTGGTTGTAGCTATGCTGGACTTTTCTAAAGCCTTTGATAACCTTATCAAATGTTATGAGGCACCTGCCTCATAAACTCTTATTGCTAAAACTGTCACTGTGGAATTACCGGTTCATTGTATACCTGGACTGGCAACTTTCTCAATGGTCGTACCCAAAAAGTCATCGTTGAAGGATAGGCATTTGAGTCCATACCAGTTACCCCTGGAGTTTCCCAAGGATCAGTCCTTGGACCCTTGCTTTTTCTGAGACATAAATGATCTCCCAATGAACTTGTCACCCACAGTCCGTCTTTTTGCAGATTATTGCCTTATCTGTTATGCTGATTAGCACTTCAAAAAAATTATAAATTAGAATTCTGGCAATCAAAGTGGATGATGAAATTCAATTCTAACAAGTGTACCGCTTTATCTGTAGGGTTAAGGCGATGTGCTAAACCTAGCTACCAGCTCAGTGGTCAGTGGTCACGTCCTACAGAATGTTGACTCTCAAAAATGTATTGTTACTATTTCTTACTATTACTTACTTACATGACCTGGTGAGGACACGTTTCTGAAGTGGTTAAAAATCTAAAAAATATTACGATTAATCAAACTGAACTTGTGGTTCTGTAATATTAATTTCAAAGAAACAGCCTATAAGACATTGGTTCGTCCCATCCTTGAATATGCTTTATCTTCTTGGTATCCTCATTTGAAGTCAGACATTCATCACCTGGAATGAGTACATAGACTGGCTATTAGATTCATCTACAACACTTCTCTCAAATTATGGATAGCTTAGCCTAGATAGAGCAGCAAAGAAAAATCAGTCGATTAGTCATGCTCAATAAGATTCTGAATAGTGTTGTTTAGTGCTTGTAAATAAGTGTTGCGTTACCTAAATATCAAGTCAATAGGACAAGGGTTGCGGGGGACATGGGGGTGACTCGCCCGGCAATCGGTTCGGGGCGTAGCGGTGATGGGCCGCTACGACTCTCACTAGCACCCTGGGCTAGTTTGTACCGTTCTTGCATCGGTCCAAGCTAACCTAGAGCATTCATATGGTTACATTTCTTCGCCATAAGAATGGTTACTATAGCACTTCTCTCGGAAAGGGTCTAACCACCACAGGGTTTGGTCCACCGCACCTGATCGACGAGATCAGATATAGAGTGTTGTCATATGGTCTGGCCACACTCTGTGTTGCAGCTCAGATCAGCAGAGGCCAGTCACCTTCACATGTATTGTTCCTCCTAACTGGAGTGTGGTTTTGAGCCCTATTCTGCCAGAAGTCAGAGGTGAGTTTCTAAACTTTTCTTATTCATGTATAAAGTTAATTTTTCCCTCTTTCCTCAAACTTTTTGACAAGGTGTTAGAAAGCATCGACAGACAGTGAGACTTGAACGGCGCCCTCTGTTGATTCATCGAGTTATACGTTAACAGCCTAACGGTGTCAATCAATAGCGCCCTCAATATTTTGTATATCTAATCACCAGCCAGTCATTCTGTCAAATGTGATTATTTTGCCAAATTTCACACTTCATTTTCCCACCTAAATTTCTCCAAATCCCAAGGTTAACTGTAACTCCCCAAACAGCCTACTTAATCGCAAATTATCCCAGACCAACCCCGTATGTGAATCTTAAAAAGTAAGTGAGATCGTTCCTTTATAATTTGGAGGATTTTAGGGTCCCTTGCTGTCTCCATTAGAATCAAAATTATCCATGATAACTTAAGTGTAAGTTACAGTGTAGTTATTGCATAGTGTTTAATCAGTTCAGTGTTTGTATTTTATTCCGTTTACTTTTGCTCATTATTAAGGGCCCATGCCCGTGTCAATTGCATTTCAGAAATTATTCCTGTTCTTCTATTTTGTAGAACCACGGGACACGGGTGACCTAATGAGTTTATACTCAGAAAAACTCTGGTAGCCCGTGGGCTACCAGAGTTTTTCTGAGTAGGCCCTATAAACTCATTAGGTCCATTTTACATGCTGTGTCAACTTACGTTTGGGTTTTTAGTCTTTTGGTTTAAGTCTTTTAAGTCATGTAGTCCTTTTGTTTTTTTTTTGCATTTTTCCAGTACTTTTTCATTAATAAATTCTTTTTTGTTCTTTTCTAAAAGTCAAATATTGGTGTCTGTGTCCTTATTAATTCAGTTTCCTGCGACTTTTCTTTCAAAGATCCTTGGTTTAGTTAGAGTTTTTGTTTTGTGAGTTCCCCATAGTGTGCCATTTTCCCCGTTACACAAGCATCCCCTCATGTAGTTACTCCACTTACAGTATCTGAGGGTAAGAAATTAAGGCTCTTCTTAGACCTCCAACACGTTAACCAGTATACTTATCTACCTAAGTTCAAATAGGAAGGTTTACTGGTATTGGCATATATGTTTTCTGAGAATTTTTTTTTTTACATTTGACCTAGAGTGTGGCTACCATCACATAGATATTTTTGCCCCACATCGTTAGTTTTTAGGTTTCAGTTGGAAGTTCGAAAAGGAGATTCGATATATTATTTTTAACGTCCCCCCTTTTGGTTTGAACTCAGCCACTCACTGTTTTACCGAAATGCTAAGGCCCTTATAAGAGAGGGCGCAGCATGGGCCATTCCGCCATCATGCATGTATATTGATGATGGTATTTCTGGTCATGCAGATAAGATTCCAGCTTGAGCAGTAAGTCAAATTGTGCACAAAGACTTAGCATTACCGGTTGGAAAGTATCTAGATCAAAAGCGATTTCCAGCTCAAACAGGTAGGCGAATGGTTGGGAATGTTGGTTGACACAGTTTCTATGCTTTTAACGATCACGACAAAGTAGCTAAATCGTCTGACACGGCAGCAGAATATGCAATTTCGGATATAACTTTAGAATACGAAGTCGTAACTAACCGAGACCTGGCCCAAAGTATGAGGAGTAAGCACAAGGGTGTCGTCTATTACTTATTTGACCGAATTCACTCGTGGAAGAAAGAGGTGGTAAATAGATCAGACACGTTATGGAACATCAGTATCGACCAGACGATTAAAAGTCTGAAAGGCGTTTTGGTTCTGATAAAAGATCCGACCGTCAAAAATCCCCTGAGATTTTACAACCCACAC